TATCTCTCTACCTTCCATCACTCACCAGTAACCTTTCTCTATGTTGGCTGATGCTGCCAGTTGTCTTGAATTTACGTGGGTCAGTCTGTTTGTTTCTCTATTTGTTTAGTGGGTAGTTGATGGGTGCTCTGGTGTGGTTCACTCTCCCCCCCCCCAAAAAAAAAAAAATCGACCTTCTTTATCTCCCCTCCTTCATTTTTCTGTTCGTTACTTTCTATTAACACCTCTCTTCTGCCTCACGTATAATATATTATTATGATCTTATTGTGTTGGAAGTACCGTAAAACTCTTATTAAAACAAAACAAAAATCTCTATTTGTTTGTTTGTGTGTAAGTGAATTCGTTTGTCTGTCTGGTTCTCTCTTTCTCTCTCTCTTTCTCTCTCTTTCTCTCCCTCACTCGTGTTTTCTTATTCGATCTAGTATTCTTATACCCATCATCTTCCTTTCCATTGCCGTCTGTGATGTCCTCAGTTTCCTTTAGAACGTCAGATTATGTACACTACAAAGAAACCAAATTAACAAGCAACGAAACAAGCAAACAAAAGGTCAAACAGACGAACAATTGCAAATAAAAACAGGCGTTCACAAATCATCAAAATCAGCAAGAAATAAGTATTATCAGGTGCTTTACTATTAAATATTGATGCTAGCATCAACACTTGACCACAAAATCACCAAGAAATGCACTTTATCATACACTGAACTTCGAAATTAACAAGCAACGAAGCAAGCAAACAATGGGTCAAACAAATGAACAATTAGGCAAATAAACACAGGCGTTCACAAAGAAAGAAACACAGAAACAAACCCCCACACAAACATACAGACAAATGAGCAGACGAACAAACAAGCAAACACCGTGTTGTTTGTGTATTGCAGGCTTCAAGCCCCGCCTGCACAGAGCTGGAGACTATAGTGATGGACTGGTTGGGCAAGATGTTGGAACTGCCGGAGTCTTTTCTGCACGGGGAGAAAGGGAGTAGATCCCTGGGTGGTGGATGTATACAGGTATTTCCTTCTCTCACTCTTTCTTTGACTCTCTTTTTCTTTTTGTGTCTGTCTTTCATTCTTTCCTTTACTGTCTGTCTCTCTCTCTGACTGTCTGTCTTTTTCCTTCTGTTACTCACTGCCCCTACTCTCTCTCTGTCTCTCTCTGTCTCTCTCTGTCTCTCTCTCTCCCCCCTCCTTTCTCTCTCCCTCTTTCTCTCTCTCTCTCTCTCTCTCTCTCTTTCTCTCTCTCTCT